TGTTTACACCGGGGTAAGAGGATAGGAGTTGACGGAATTCTAAACAATGGACACCCCAGAATACACTTCAGGCTTCGAAATTGAAATCGAAATCGAAGTTGAAACAGTTTATTTAGCCCGAGTAATACAGGCGTAAATGGAATAACAACAGCAATATTGACATGGCTGAGACTTTCGAGTATTGGAGCTCTCTTGAAGGACACTTGATAAATACTGTACATTGAATTTACACACAAACGTTTCACATTGGCTGAAATAGATGACACACACACACAACAAAAAGAAACATTTGTCACGTACGCAACTTTAATTAAAGATTTGTATCTTAATCTGTAACTGAATTGGTAGTGATTACATCTTGCGTCTCCGATAAAAGCTGCCCAGAAGTTTATAGATAAAACTCAAGGGAATTAACTTTAAAATAGATTCTTTCTGGCAGGGACTTGGGGAACATCTCGTACCAGAACATAAACGGGAAAACATGTCGTACCGGGAAAACATGTACCAGGAAATATGTCCTGCCTGGAAAACATGTTGTACCGGATGAACATTTGTTTGGCATTTGTCCGGCGTGATATTATTTTTTCAATCAGCGGAGAGAAACGGAGGACAAAAAGCTTTGAGTTTATTTGTGAAGAGAAATGTTTTTTCTTTCTTTTTATTTCATTTTCAGAAGTCAGGGAATACCACAAACCTAAATAATTCGTTCTATTTTTAAGTGGTCTCTCAAGCCAGGTTCTACAATACTCTGAGAACATGAGGAACGTATTTATGGAGCCGATCAGAGGCATTCCAAGACATGAGACCTCATTTATTGACTTCATAAGAATTTTATAGATAAAACTCAAATGATTTAACATTAAAACACATTCTTTCTGACAGGGCCTTGGAGAACATCAAGTACCAGAACATATAAGGGGAAAACATGTCGTACCGGAAAATGTTTCCTGCCGGGAAAACATGTCGTACTGGGAGCACATGTCGTACCGGATGGCGGATGAGCAAGTTTGTTTTCCCTTGATCAGGTCGAAACATTTAGCTGGCAGTTGTGCAGCGTGACATTAATTTTCAATCAGCCAAAAGAATAGGAGGACTAAAGCTTGGGGTTTATTTGTGACGAGGAATGTTTTTTCTTTCTTCTAAATTTTATTTTCAATGGTCATTGAATAGCACAAACCTAAATAATTCAATCTATTTTCAAGTGGTCTCTCAAGCCAGGTCCGACGCTCTTCTGTGGCTTGATACGAACAAGGGATATAAGAGAGTCGCCAGGAACGTATTTACGGAGCCGTCCAGAGGCATTCCAAGATATGAGAACCTCATTTAATGACTTCAAAGGAATTTTTCGCGTTTGATTTACTGAACGCTCTTTCAACCTTAATACTCTTTTGTTAGGTCTGGGTATTGGTTCAGTTACGGCTCCTTTACTCTGTTGGCTCAGTGGTTCAAAGGTCTAACTTAACTTACAGTAGTAACTTAACGTAATCTTAGACAAACCTAACCTACCCCCTCCCACCCGATACACAACACATGTTTGACACACTTACCTGACATCCCACAAATCAACATATACCTGTGCAGTACAGTATAGCTTCCCTGGAGTGAGTTACCATAAGGCTGCAGAGAACAGGCTAAGCGGAGGGTGAGGAAGGTATTGGCCAGGGGAATGGGTGAGTGAGGTAGTGGCTAAGAGAAAGGTTGAGGAAATAGTGGCCAAGAAGGGTAAAGGAGGGCCAGGAAAGAAAAGTAGTGGCCAGTGGGAGGATGAAGGGGGTAGCAGCCAGGGTGAAGGGTGAGGGAAGTATTGGCCAGGAGTAGGGTGAGGGAAGGCCAGGGAATTAGTGCCCAGTTGAGGGTGAAGGAAATAGTAGCAGTGATAAACGATAAAAAAAATTAATCTAAACAGGTAAATAAACCTAATTAGCTCCTGGACACCTGAACTTCTTAATGAATCAGTAAAACAAAACATTCATCATTTCACAAGTATATTTCTCGACTTTAAATTTCTACATATCTGTACATTATTCATCCATAGTATATACATTAAGTTTTTTCATACATACATTATATATATATATACTATATATATATATATATATATATATATATATATATATATATATATATATATATATATATATATATATATATTTATTCATATTTACTGGTATGACATGTAAATAAAATAAACATGATTTAGATGGATGAAATATTATATAGGAATAAAATGAGAATGTCTTTTGTTATTCATCTTTGTGGTAATCAATTATTCAAGTTTAAATTGATTTATGTTTCTTGTTAATATTTCTCTTAATCATCCGTATTATGGTTATTTTATAATTAAGTAACTTATTTCCAGTCCTCGATATAATTAAAGTCATTAGTATTAATTCTAATTACCTGGAGAAAAAATACCTTTAATTACGAAGAAAAGTCATGATTAATTATTATTTTTTTTTAGGGGGGAGGCATTTAAATTATGGTCTTTATTGGTGATTTTTGGTTAGGTTAGTTTATGTTTGGTGGGGGGGGGGGGGCTTTTGTGTCTATAATATCCCTCAAGAGACTTTACTCTCACAGCGCCTTGCATAATTCTACTGGAAGAAACGTAAAGTATAGGTGTTGTTGTGTCTGGACGTTGTAAAGTATAAGTGTTGCGGTATCTGGAACGTAAAGTATAAGTGTTGCGGTGTCTCGAACGTACAGTATAAGTATATGGTATCTTGAACGTAATGTATAAGTGTTGTGGTGTCTGGTGACGCTCCTTACTGACCAAAACACCATTTCTAAACATTAAATTGGCCGATATGTAGACTTTTTTCTTTTTGTTTTTTACCGTCCTCAAGGCTCTCAAAGGGGGGCAGTAACTGCATGGATACAACGTGATACAACGCTCTCCTCTTGCCCTAAGGCGTCACTCGTTTGAGCCCATAGCAGCCTCCAATCCACTTAAAAGTGAATGGGTACCTAATTTTACAGTTTAAGAAGTGAAGATGGTCGATTGTATTGCCGGCCATGTTGTCTCCTCATGTTAAACAAGATATTTTATGCGCACCTACTGCATATTTTCTCGCACTGGTACAGATATACCGACTGTAGTGAACTGTAAAATGACTGTAACTGTCTCTTACCTTATTGTTTGTTCAGTGTATCTCTGTTTAGTCACCAGTAATTTGTGTACTCGCTTACCTCTCTTCTTCGTCATCTTCGTTGTTAAGTCTTCGACAAAACTTCTACATTTTTCCTGTATTTCTTAGTCTCCGAGTCAATTTCTTAAAGATTGTACTGTAACTCGGCTAAATAAGCTCGCAGAGACCCCCCCCCCCCCAAGTATATAGGGTAAGTTAACAGATCTGGTAACGGTGTATAAAACCTCGCTTCCAAACGTACGATTACCGGGGTTTGTCACTCAAACGTTGCCTTCACTAACCCCGCCTACCACGCCTCGTCTCCCAGTACCATTACATTATTACCAGATCGGTTGCCCTACACTATACTTTTTGGGTCTCTACTAATTTATTTGGCCGACTGTCTCTACCCTCTGCCTCGGTGTTTATATTTAATAACGGCGCTTCTCTCATCTCACCGTACGTCATTTATTTATTTAAAACAAATAGAAATTTTAATGAAGCTCACTACACCAAGTTAATTACCAACAACTTAAAAATTTCCGTGTTACCTCTTGAATATATTCTTTTTAATTAATATTCCATTTTGTGTGTTTCGTATTGGAAGAGAGAAATTTTAAAGAATTTTTGGAGAATTTTCACTACGTCATGGAGGAATTACTAAATGGCACTGAGAGTTAGTCCTTGGGGTGCCTTCAGTCCGTCCACGTACAGTAATGACCCAGTGAGTGTGAGGGAACTTACCCGTTCAACAAAAAGATAAATGTTAATTGGGTGGCCTGTTTGTGTTTACAGTTTTTAGAAGGAATACAGAAATAAAATGGTATGAGAGTAATCGTGTGTGTGTATGTGTGTGTGTGTGGAGAAGGAAGGTATATGTATCACTTAGTGTGGTATAGTGTGATATGATATGTATGTGTGTATTTATATGTATAAATACGTATCATACATGCGTCTCATACAACTCGTCGAGGTTGACTACAGACACACAGGTCGAAGAGGAACCTAAACGATGATAGCATTCCCAGGTATGTCTAATGAGGGACTTGGCTAACACTTAACTACTGTACCATAACACAAAGAAGCATCAGCTCTACTCGTCTCTCTCTACCTACTTACTTATACAGTCCCCTTCACTTGTGCGTTTACAGGGGCTCGTCATGTAAATATTCCACAAATCATTATTATTGAGATATTTGTTTTAAGATTGTTTTAATTTGATTTCATAGTATGTTTACTATTGCGAGTTTCTTTCCGTAGAATGTAAACAAACACAGCGCACAAAACCTGACGAGCCTCTGTAAACGTACGAGTGAAGGGGACTGTACATACACACACACACATATAGGACAAATGTACAGGTACTACACTCAATGATTATCATCTCTGTCCTCTGCATAATGTTGAATGGTGGAGTGGCTGAGTCTCATGACACTATCTTGCATGGTACTGTCAACATGGTGGAATGATGGATTCTCATGACACTATCTTGCATGGTACTGTCAACAAGGTGAAGTGATTGATTCTCATGACACTATCTTTCATGGTACTGTCATTATGGTAGTGTGATTGATTCTCATGACACTATCTTGCATGGTACTGTCAACATGGTGGAATGATGGCTTCTCATGACACTATCTTGTATGGTACTGTCAGCAATCACCTCTTTCACCTGCTACACCCTCACTACCTGAGCCACATTACTAAGACAACTCACACAGGAGGACGCTTGGAGCCAGTCAGGGTTCTGGGTCCTCAGAGGCCGGGGTCAGTTAATTCACTGTACAAAATGGACGCAAACGTAGCCGAGTCATAACCCCAGCACTGAGTTAACACATATTATTATTATTATTTTTTTTTTTTGGTGGGGGGGAATCAACAAACACTGACACAGGGAAGCTACAGTGGGAGACTATGTATCCGTATGTGTCAATTAACTACAGATTATGATACATTGTTTACCGAATTGTCTCACAGCATTGTTTGCTTGTTACACTTATTACTGATTATATTGATCCAGTTTATCTTTAACTGTTTGTCACATGGTATTGAGCAGTTTGTGACTGATATTTGCAGTATATGTGTTCTGTTGAATAATGTATATAGTTTATTTACTTTCTGACATAAATCTCAAGAATAAATATTATCTGTTCAGCAGTGTTCATTATTAAACACTTTATATCTATAAATATTATCACTATTATACGTCTCTTAAACTACGTAGATAAACACTCACTAATTCCACGTCACACTAGTATCAACATTTAACATGGTAAGTGTCTCTTTGTCTCTGATAGGCAAGAAAACAAACACATATTGTAAATCCAGGCCAAGATATGTCTTTCTGGTAAACAAAACATATCCACGTGTCTCTTTGTCTCTCTTTCTGCCTTAGCCCGGGACTTTGACCACCACGTATTGGTCATCAACACTATTTCTCAAGCCTAGGTATATCTCCCGTCATTTCTAGATAACACAATTGATTAGAGATAAGAAAGAGATATGAATATGACCACAGCACTAACCTGTCACACTCATGTCTAAACTGGTGATTGTTATATTCACTTCAGGCATCATGTCAGACCTGGTTCATGAGATCTGTTTCTTCCTCATTTTCATCTTCTATCTTCTTCAGCCACATCCAGGGGGTCAAAGGTCTTCTTCTTCTTTTTCTTCTTCTTCTTCTTCTTCTTCTTCTTCTTCTTCTTCTTCTTTTTCTTCTTCTTCTTCTTCTTCTTCTTCTTCTTCTTCTTCTTCTTCTTCTCTCTGATTGGTTACTAACAAGTGAATTTTCCTGCTGTGATCAGATGTGAGTTTTGATTGGTTAAGTCGCTGTTATTGTTCGTTGTCTTGTGAGTCACTTGTGTCCGCCTTTACACCTGCTGACTGTGGCTTCTTCAGGCTCTGAGACAGATGTTTACAAGCATGTGTTGGAACCTATAGGACTTGCTGGGGCTAGGTAGGATACGCTATGATCTGGTAGGACATCTGGGATCTAGTAGGCCTTGCTAGGAGCTATTAAAACTTGCTGATACTTAATAGGACTTGCAGGGTACTAATAGAACCTCCTTTGACCTGGTAGGACTCCCTTGGAAGGTCAGGATCCACAGTCTATGTGTTAAGGAGAGCCACCAGGATCAGTGGAAATAATCCTGCGCTACATCTGTCGGCGCCACTCCCTGTAAAGACAAGGAAATACTGACATTACACTTCTGAAGGGAGGCCACGGGAACTCCAATACCTTATAACTAAAGGCAGACCAGAGACAACAACAATAATAATAATAATAATAATAATAATAATAATAATAATAATAATAATAATAATAATAATAATAATAATAATAATAATAATAATAATAATAATAATAATAATAATAATAATAAAAGGTAATTAATCCATACCACTAAAATATCTTCATTAATTACAACTTACAAGTGCAAAAATCAATCACTATTAATCACACTATGAAGACCCATCACCATCACCCAAACACGTCAGAGTTCAGTGTTGTTATTGTGAACCACGAAGGTAAGCCATTAACAATACAACTCATTTCTCATCGCCACTGAAGCAGAGAGAATACACTTTGATACCCCGACTTGGCCGTGAGAGGTAGTGAGTAATGAGACAAGGAAGAGTATGTTGAGATTTGTGGTGTAGGTGTGTGAGGGAGTGTGAGGGAAGGAAGGATAGAGTGTGAGGAGGGTGAGGGAAGGAAGGATGGAGTGGGAGTGTGAGGAGGGTGAAGGACGGATAGAAGGAAGGAAGGAAGGAATGTGCCTCTTCTTAGTGTTAACATCATCACAGTGTAAGATAGACAGGTAAGGCACAGTATATCAGTGTTGGACAGACAGGTGAAAGCTGTTGTTTGTACAGTGGTCAGGAGCTCAGTGGCAGGTGATTGACAGTGGTCCATTAAGAGAGAAATACACGGAGCCTTTGTGGGCATCGACCAGGACTTGGGGGAGGTCTGCAACACGAGATGATATACACGGAAAAATATGGCAGGGAACACGGAACAAGGAACGGTCACTGGCAGCCACTTTCCTTAACCTCTTGGGTATGATGACGACTTATTGAGTATGATGACTTAACTTCTTCAGTACAATGACTTAATCCCTTGACTACGGTGATTTTTCAGTACGATGACTTTACCCCTTGAGTGCAATGACTTAAACCCTTGAGTACAAAGACTTAACCCCTTGAGTACAATGACTTAACCCCTTGAATACGATATATTAACCCCTTGAGTACGATATATCAACCCCTTAAGTACGAAAACTTAAGGGGTCACGATTTTATAGAATTTACACTTACCATGATACGCTAAAAAAACTTGCCGTGTTAAGGCGATCTCACCACTATAGCAACATTTACCCTATGAATATATGTCTGTACATTTCTTCACACATTGCAGCGATAGGTTTTGTATCCTTATAAAAAAACGCTGACATCTTAAGCTTAGTGGTCCGAGGAAGCCAAAGTGAAGCCAGCGTTCTTCTTACCTAAGGCCGTCTGCATTCTTGTCGCTTCCTTCCCCATCTAAGTAAATCCCGTAACACTGAAGAGTCACCATTAAAACTGAGGATCTGGCTAGTGATGATTTAGTTGGTGTGATGAATATGTAGTGATGTGTGTGAGGGATAAACGGTTCTTTTATTCATCAAATTATTATCTTGATCTGTTATCTTGAGCTGTTATCCTGACCAGTGACCATGATTTTTGACCCTGACCTGTGACCCTGATCTGTTTTCTTCGCCCGTTATCTTGACTTGTGATCCTGACCTGTGACCTTGACCTGTGACCCTGACCTGATATCTTTACCTGTGACCCTGAATTGTTATCCTGACTTGTGATCCTGATCTGTTACCCTAACCTGTTACCCTGACCAGTGATCCTGACCTATGACCTTGTATACTAGTTATATATTGAAAGATTAAACTGACTCTATAGACGTACACACCATCAGCCAAAGCATACAGTATTATGTATACTCTTACATGTATATCAAGGCATTAAGTAGTTGAATGTGGGTGCGCCAGGTCCGTAGACTTGCTAGTGATAGAATTAGATCATTGATATACATAACTCCTGACACATGCTAAACGAACAAACGTTGACAGTCGAGGTGTTGAACATTATCTTAACCTAACCTAAACCTAACCTAACCTAAACCTAACCTAACCTAACGTACACACAACGTCTTCAAACACCTACCGAAGAAGTAAGAGTTCTCATTGTGACGTCGTTCCTCTGGTTGGGTGTGAAGCATATAACCCGTCTCAATAACAGAAGTTTCCTGAGACTGGAAATACACTGTAGCTATTTTGGCGACACACTTGAGTCGCATTTCGCCCCTAGGAAAGTGGCTCCTGGCTGTGACAAAGGTAAGACCCAACACGGCCGTCTCCAAGCCATCCCGTTCCTTCTGCAGCTTGTACCTCTTCAGCAGGTTTGCCTGTGTCTGTGGGAGAACAGGGGCATTATTACACTGTTATCATGGGAGAGCTCTTTCCTGTACTTCTATCATGTTGTTATTGCTAGTATAGGTTTATATCATGGTAGAGCTCTTATTTGCACAGGGAAAATAGATCTGTCTGGTTTTCCTGTGCTTCTATCATGGTGTTATTGCTAGAATAGGTTTATATCATGGTAGAGCTCTTATACTCGTTCCATATACATAAAATAATATACTGTAATCCCTGACACAAGAGACTGGAAGACCTTGTTTCGAGTGTCTCAGTGTAGTAAGGAAGAATGCCAAACTACACACTTACCTCTCACTCTCTCACTCCCTCATTCTCTCATTCTCTCTCTCAATCTCTCACTCATTCTCTCATTCTCTGACTCTCTCTCTGACTCTCTCACTCATTTTCTCATTCTCTGACTCTCTCTCTCACTCTCTCACTCATTCTCTCACTCTCTGACTCATTCTCTGACTCTCTCTTTCACTCTCTCACTCATTCTCTCATTCTCTGACTCTCTCTCTCTCTCTCTCACTCATTTTCTCATTCTCTGACTCTCTCTCTCACTCTCTCACTCATTCTCTCATTCTCTGACTCTCTCTCTCACTCTCTCACTTTCCTCCTCTGAAAAGTTGCTGGAATTTTATGTTATGTCTTTGTTCCAAGGAAATTGTTTTGTAAATCTTCATAAAAACTAAAACAAAAAAACAAACAAGGAAAATGAGGAGGGGGGAATGAGGTGAAAATTATCCAGATCTAATTAATTATTATCCTCTAAAACATAAGTTCACCTGAGACTAATTAACCACAGGTAATAATCCCTATAGATCATTAACAAATACAATAAACAAATCAAGAGTTAAAATTCACTAAATATCATCGTTATTTTCTTTTAATTTTCGGTCATTAGGTTAGGTTAGGTTAGGTTAGGTTAGGTTAGGTTAGGTTAGGTTAGGTATAGTTCTTAACATCGTGACTATCAACGTGTTCAGGTGAACTACAGGTATCCAGAGTGGTGAGTTATCCAGAATGATGAGTTATCAACAAATGATCTTTCTGCATCAGTAAACTGTAAACTCCATCTATCATACGATCTTACATCCAGTCAAAAGTAAACTGTCTCCAGTCAGTCTCACTACACTTAGGAAACTGTAAACTGCGTCTTACAGCGGATCATACACTCCATTTAACTGTAAACTATCATCCAAGTAATCTTACACCACAATTAACTGTTAACTGTGTCATATAAGGGATCCCACACTCATTAATGACTGCCGGTACCCGTGTGGGAAACGGTGCGACACAGAGAGACAGTTTATGTGGTCGTCTACAGTAATAGTTTGCATGGCCGGCTTCCAACCCATTTCCGTGGACAAATCGCCCGACTGAGCTACTACCTTGAGGACCATCAACCCATCCTCCACCTCCTCTTCCCACGCGACTAATTGTAGATCCCAGGCTCCTGTACCGGGATTATGCCAGTGAGTATCCTACACCTGTACCGGGATTATACCAGTGAGTATCCTACACCTGTACCGGGATTATACCAGTGAGTATCCTACACTTTTACCGGTTATACATTTCTGTACTATACTTCAGGAGGTTATACACTTCATATACCTGTGTAGATTCTCTCAGGTGTGTATTAAACCAGTGAATAGAATATATTTATGTTAGTATTCCAGGTATAATATATATATACTATTTAATATCATACACCTGTGCAGAATCAAGGTAATTACAGGTATATAAGTTACTGACTCAATTCTAAAAGATGTTTCTCTATTTATTTCTCACTTCGATAACCATAACTTGTTCTCTTTAAGCCTTTCATGTCGTCTTCATCACGAGAAAGATTTATTCATAAGGTAAACAAACAGAGATTGACCGTGAATAGAATACTTTGGCCAGACGCAAACAACTATCAGTCGTGTGGTCAAAGTACCTCTGAATATGAGTGTTTGTCATCATTTTTACCCAGAACGTTGCGACTCTTAACTGATGATGAGTCACTGAGTCATTATGAATCATTTTGAGTCACTCGGAGTTTCTGAGTCATTCTCTTCATCGATCTGTTGGGATTTTGAGGTGATGTTGCAGAGAACAGCAGCTGGGGCAGTGCAGGCACAGCAGCTAGGATGTGAAGCATAGGCACAATAGCTAGGATGCAAGTGTAGGCACAACAGCTAGGATGGGCAGTGTAGGTACAGCAGCTAGGATGGGAAGTATAGGTACAATAGATGTAAATAGGTAGCTAATTTTACAGTTGGGAGTACGGAGGCTATCGAGTACAGTGCCAGTTTTCTTACCTTCTTGTGTATCAAAGGCTTAGTATACAGTGTGCTATCTCCCCTCCCCCCCCCACACACACACACACACACTCCAGAATACTATAAAACTGCAAGAAACTTTTACAGGTAATATTTTGACTTTTAACTTTTACTGGGGGGAGAATACCACCAAAGTACCATTACAGTTAGGAAACAACTCCATCTGCCAGAGGAATATAACTGAGTCTAACAACACAACACAACACAACACAGGAAACAACACAACGCAACACAAAAAACACAACACAAAAACAACACAATACAACACAACACAGGAAGCAAAACAATTAACTCAGCTCATTAATCTAGCTCCTACTTAGGTTCTGGGAAGGTGTAGCACTGTAAGTTGAACGTGAAATGGACTCGAAATGTAATAGATTCTCAACCTAACCTAACCTAACCTAACCTAACCTAACCTAACCTAACCTAACCTAGCCTAACCTAACCTAATCTAACCTAACCTAACCTAACCTAACCGAGAATAATATAGCATTTAGCCTCTATATATAATAACATAGTAATCCGAATGTTATTTAATATAGTATCTGAATATACCTAAGCGAGGGGGAAGTTGATTACCATAAGCTTGAGGGGTTGATGTACCATAAGCTTGAGGGGGGGGTTGATGTACCACTCACCACAAGATGGTCGTTGATGTACCACTGAAGGGTAGCGGCAGGCTTGGAGTACAGGGAGGTACAGTTGACTACCACACGTTCCCCCAGCTGGTAACTCGTCCTGGCCCCGTCCAACACTGGCGCGCTCTCTGGTAGGTCTGTGGACACGTAAATACTAAGTCAGTTCTCTTAAGAAGATAACTTAGAGTCATGTAAGAGTTTTGGAACAGGATTTTAGAGTTAATGCTAAAAAAATGAATTTCTAAGTGGGGTACATCTAGGGGAGGTTTTGTCAAAATGACTTTTCATATCAGAGGTTTTGTCAACATGGCTTTACATACCAGAGGTTTTGTCAACATGGCTTTTCATACTGGAGGTTTTGTCAACATAGTTTTGCATACTGGAGGTTTTGTCAACATAGTTTTTCATACCAGAGGTTTTGTCAACATAGTTTTTCGTGCCAATATTCGATGAAAGTTACAGAAACAAGCAAAAGAACTAATCAGCTAAGGAAGTAAAAGTGTCAGGTTGAAAATTAACTTCACCAAAACTTAACATCAAGAGCTTCACAGATTTGTACCTAATAGAAGTCAAAAAATTAAAAACAAAAATTAAGAGGAAAGTCATGGAAGATACAGTAATTGGTTTGACTTAATGAAAACCAAATAGGCAAAAATCAAAATAGGATTCAATTTAGTGTTAGAACGCCTTTGAGGGAGTAAGTCGTATTTCCAACACAAAAAGTTATGGGTGTGAGTCGTAATGAATAAATACAGTAATACAAAGGAACTAAAAAAAATTATATACACAGCACACAGAGAGACAGGAAAGGTGAAAATACGAACAAAATATACGAAAAAAAATATGGGCTACAGACCTAAATAAAAAATAAATGGTAAACAATGGAAAAAAAGCACAAAGAGAAGCTTAATTCTCAAAGGTTCTTATAATAAATTTACCCCATTTTAGTAAACACTTAACTTGAGGTAAACACAAAGACCAAATTATCATTGAATTTGTTTTGAAATTCTACTATAACTTAGAATTAGATAGAGGAATAGTAACACTGTATTTATGGGTGTAGGTGGATGGAAGTGAACATAATTGGGTGAATCTGGGTACAGGTGGGTGTAGTTGGGTGTAGAAGGATGCAGGTGGGTGTAAACAGGTGTAGAGATACAGGAGATACAGGGGGTTGTATAGGTGGATGCAGGTGGGTGTAGGCAGATGTAGATGATTTACCTATCACGGTCATGTTGCCTTGACCAAACCTGGTGATGAAGAGCGGCGCCTCAGTGATTACCTCACACCTGTATGTGCCAGAGGTCGCCAACTCCAGGTCCTGCAGCACAACCATCTCCCCCGTGCTGCTCCCCACCTGCCGGAGTACAGTACACCTTATTTAGTACACCTCTACACGTGAACAGTTATTATTATTGCTCTCGTCAAGGGTGTATCAAGGCGCCGTTGCTGTTCAAATTGGCCCCAACTTACCCTACCCAGGCCCAAGGGGAGGAGGGTCTCATTATCAATAGGCCCCAGTCGCAATCGTAAGGGTCAAATTAGGTCACATTTACTAGTAAGAAGAGAGAGAGAGAGAGAGAGAGAAAGAGAGAGAGAGAGAGAGAGAGAGAGAGACTCGTAATACGTAGCAATAAAACAACAACTCCGGAGCGCTCCACTCTCTTGCAATTCATTTATCTGGTAGGGAAAGTTTACAGTGTTGCAACCAGAGAAGAATCTCACATGAAAGAAGCACTACCTACCCCTGCCTCCTCCTCACCCCTCACTTCTCCCTCCACACCCTCCACCTCTCCTCACCCCCCCCCTACCCCTTCTTGACGAGCCCTGGCGTGTGGTAGTGACAAGACGGACACCAAGACGCCGGCATAAAAGACGCAAATAACTTTCACATTAAAACTTTTGTCAGAATTTTTTGACGTAAAAGTTTGCCTTGATGTAGATGTCGACGATGTATTAGTCCGGTTGCCAAGAACTTGATTTTTTTTGGGAGTGTATGTCCAGGAAGCTACACACACACACACACACACACACACACACACACACACACACACACACACACACTAATAATAATAATAGTAATTGTTATCCTCGCATTGTTTTTTGTTTTTATTTGTTTTTTGCCGTTGGTGTTTGTATAAGTTTAAGACACTGTGATGATGGGGTCAAGTCAGAGGTTTAAAGTTGGTGAGGTGATGATGTTTGTGTTTTATGTGTGTGTGTGTGTGTGTGTGGAGGGAAGAGAAGGGAAGGAAGGAGGGACGTAGTGGGATGATAGATAAGGAGGTAAGGGGGATTGGAGGATGGGGAAGGAGAGAGGAGGCAGAAGGATGGGGAAGGATGGGGTCGGGGGAAGAACTACGACTGAATAAGCAACAAGCCTCCCTGGGCCATACCAATTCACATCACAGCAAATTTAATGACAGTCAAAGCAATACACATAACACCAAGTGGACCATATGCCCCGTGATCAGTACCGGGGTGTAGGACAATGTACCACACAAGAACGAGCCTCACACAACATCTCCACTCACACATCTCTCGGCTGAATGGTAAATGACCAACAACAATAGCGCTCTTGCTGACACATACACACACGGTGTAAACTGGCCAATAATCGAGGCAGATACAACTCACTGAGGGCAATAACTTGATGGCCTTATCGTTAAAACTACATTTAGAATTCCCAGTAAAGTATAAATGATTGCTTCCATTACCGACGTTAAATTGTGTTGGACGAGTGTTGGAAGCGTCGACCAACAGATATGACTTAGAGATGCGTGTTCCCAGTGCTGTGTATACGCGGCCACTAGCCCCCCCCCCCCTTCCCCAACGTCTCGCTATATACCAAAGTCCACGTATAGCCGAACATGACGTGACCTGATTGGCTATTACAGAGTATGACGTGTCATCTTAGCTCCTCCTCTCTCCCCACCACCTCCAGCACCCAAACTAACCCAGCTATGACTACTGTGGGTTAGGTTAGGTTTGGTTAGGTGAGGTTAATAAAATCATCACAAACTATAGGAAATCTAGTAAGAACATCACTCCTCAAAGATCCCATTTACGATAACATGTTTTAGTGAGTGAGTGTCTTGGTGTGTGTGTGTGTGTGTGTGTGTGTGTGTGTGTGTGTGTGTGTGTGTGTGTTGGTGTGTGTGGTGGTCAGTCTGTCTTGTATAGGAAGGTTTATTATTATTATTATTATTATTATTATTATTATTATTATTATTATTATTATTATTATTATTATTACTGCAATACCATTCTTAACAAAATTACAAACTTCACTAAACAAATTTCACCTAACCTAATCTAACCTAACCAAACAGACTGTGACCTCGATTCACAAAGACACTATAACTTAATTTTATTCCTTAACTTGTGCTAAAAGGAACGAATCTTGTTAAGGAAAAGTCTCGGTTCAGTGTTGATGACATTTTGGACAATAAATTACTGTTTCAATTTCAAGTCAGTTTAGTTGTAGATGCTCTCCTAACATCTGCAGCTTTGAGACAAATTTAACATAATGGTACTTGAGAATTCATCTTTGTGTCGTAACTTTAAGACAATCTGATGCTGTTTTATAAATTTCCATTTAAGAGAAAATTTTCAATCTTACGAGCATCTGAAAATGCGTCCATGTACCGTAGTTTAGTGAATCCGTTTAGTGCGTTCTTGCATCTCTGTTTATGAGGGAATTCCATAAACATTTGAGAATTCGTCTGAGTTGAGTGTTTAGTAAATTAGATAGGTTCTTTTGTTCTTAAATCTTGGAGTCATGGAGGGTTAAATCATCATCCTCAAAGGGTTAAACCATCATCCTCAAAGGGTTAAACCATCATCCTCAAAAGGGTTAAACCATCATCCTCAAAAGAGTTAAACCACCATCCTCAAAGGGTTAAACCACCATCCTCATACCATCATCCCCAAGTATAAACCATAATCCTCAAAAGGGAAAACCATCATCCTCAAAGGGTTAAAACCATCATCCTCAAAAGGGTTAAACCATCATCCTCAAAGGGTTAAACCATAATCTTCAAAAGGTTAAACCATCATCCCCAAAGGGTTAAACCATCATCCTCAAAGGGTTAAAACCATAATCCTCAAAAGGGTTAAACCATCATCCCCAAAGGGTTAAATCATCATCCTCAAAGGGTTAAACCATCATCCTCAAAGGGTTAAACCATCATCCTCAAAAGGGTTAAACCATCATCCTCAAAGGGTTAAACCACCATCCTCAAAGGGTTAAACCACCATCCTCAAAGGGTTATACCTCTAATTACGACAAAACCTCAACCCTACGACCATATAAGAATCTATCAAGGAATCGTATCTTTAAAGTGAGTCAACAAGTTACGACCAATTCTAAATCCTTATGAAGTGATATACAGTCTAGCGTTTATCGTAAAGTATCGTAATTTAACGATCTATATGACGACACTCACTACAATAACGCAATTAATAACACTTGATATATTACAGGATGACATTGAAGTTATTAAAACGTAATGTATAATGAATAAGAACCAAGAGCTAAAGATGAATATAAATTGAATGATAAAGATTTTTTTTTTGTATGAGAGGACCAGATTACTGAAAATATTTAGGGTAGAAAAACAAGAGAAAAGATGAAGGAAAGCGGAGATGAAACAGGAAATAAGGACGAAAGAGAATTTTTAGAGGAGAGGGAGATGGGAGAGGAGGAGGAGTGATGGAGTAAGGGTGAGGGAGATGGGAGAGAAGGAGGAGGAAGAGAGGGATGAAAAGAAAAGGATTAGGTTGAGGACTGGCAGGTAAAGAGGAGAGGGAGGAAGGGAAGGGGAAGAGGAGGGATGACAGAAGAAGAAGATGAAGAAAATGAAGAAGAAGAAGAGGAGGAAGAGGAAGAAGAAGAAGAAGAAAAAGATGAAGAAAATGAAGAAGAAGAAGAAAAAGAAAAAGATGAAGAAAATGAAGAAGAAGAAGAAGAAGAAGAAGAAGAAGAAGAAGAAGAAGAAAAAGAAGAAGAAGAAGAAGAAGAAGAAGAAGAAGAAGAAGAAGAAGAAAATCAGGTAGTAGGTGCCCGGGGGGACTTGAGTCAGTTTAGAAGCCACCAGTGTTGTGCCGACAAACCTAACCTAACCTAACCTAACCAAACCTAACCTAACCTAACCAAAATTAATGTTTATTTCTTACTGTTAATATACAGGGTGTTACAAAAAGTCTAGTCTCTATATGATTGACTCTTCTTTTTTTTTTTACATTTTACAGTGTGTTTCAAATTGTCTTTCTCTCATTTTTTTTTCAACTAACTTTTCTTATTTCATGATTGTATTAGTAAGGTTTGGTTAGGTTAGGTTTGGTTAGGTTAGGTTAGGTTAGGTTAGGTTAGGTTAGGTTAGGTTTGTATAAGTGAGGTATTTAGTTAGTTAATAGCTCGCAACCTGACCTAACTAAGAAGGTATATTTCATATGATTTTTTGGGGGGCTGTAAGTGGCATTTAACACAGGTAATGACTCAGTTCTAATGACCTAGTTCTTACTTAATTATTATTATTTTCAATTTTACTCACCTAATTTCATTCAATTATTACATCATTATTTATCATATTATTTTTGTATATTTTTGTTACATATCTTGAGCTAATTACTTTATAAATGTTAATTAGCGTAATTAACGACCCAGATCATAATTACGTGTTGTTTACCTCATAATTACACTTACTAACTCACCTCACATGACCGAGAAAAAATAAAATTCATATATGTTTGTTTTTTCTTTAACGAATGCAAATAAGTTAGTCTACAGCCTCAATGCATAGTAAATTCTTTCATATTTTTAGTTATTTAACTCTGGGGATTTTTTTAGTAGGGATTTTTAGTTATTTAACTGTAGGGATTTTTTTGTAATTTAACTCGAGGGATTTTTTTAGTCGAGATTTTTTAGTAATTTAACTCTTGGGATTTTTTTTTGTCGAGATTTTTTAGTAATTCAACTCTTGGGATTTTTTTAGTAGGGATTTTTTAGTAATTGAACTCTTGGTATTTTTTTTAGTCGGGATTTTTTAGTAATTTAACTCTTGGGATTTTTTTAGTCGGTATTTCTTAGTAATTTAATTCTTGGGATTTTTTTTAGTAGGGATTTTTTAGAAATTTAACTCCAGGGATTTTTAATAGTATTTTCTTTAGTAAAAACTTAACAAGGGTCTGAAGGGACGATACCATTACTGAGGGTAGTTCAGCTTTAACGCTTCGTGGTCATTAATCTCTCATGGTAGCTCTAAGTAAAGGACCAGCGTTGGTAACTCTGAGTAAAGGACCAGCGTTAATAAATTTTCGAGGGCTGTAGGCAGTGATTTGAAGAGTAGTATTATA